TCCGGGGGCGCGGCCCACGCTGCGAGGCCGGCGGCCGCTCCGCCATCTCCCTCGGCCAATGTGACGGCACTGGGCAGAAAGCCAGGGGCTGCCGAGGAGGAGAACGGAGGCTTTCCCAGCGAGGAGCGGGAAAGCGTGCTGTCGTTTTGTAGCGCCGTCCCAGAGAGGACGCAGCACTGCTCTCATCCCGCTCTAAAGACCCACTGATGCGACATTGCGGCTATCTGCCCTGCGCAGGTGGGAAGGATGGGCTGGAAACAGTCCTGGTAACTTTACAGCTACTTCCGTGCTGTACGCTTCGGTTTTGAAGTGGTTGTGGTGCGAGCCTTTGTCACGATAACAAAGCACGTAGATCAGGTGGATCCAGTAATGGAGGCGGCAGAACCTTAGCTCTGGACTCGACCCCTACTTCAGACCTTCTTTGTCTGTAATGATTGCAAGCTATATGCAGTCACAGTCAGCAGTCTTAAAACTCTTACCCTGCCTGAGCGCTGCCTCGTGCGCTCTTGGTGGCACAGTCCCTACAGGTTCCTGGGCACCTTGCAATGCACAAGCAGAAGCACACATGCCCTTTACATCCATGTAAAGTCAGCCAGCCTTCTGCATGTGCTGACCCTGCCACTGTGCTAGCTGGTTCCTTGGGACTTCCAAAGCATGAGGAATGGGCTCACTCAGAGGCAGGCGTGTTCTGCAGCTCCTGCAGGGCTCCAGGGCTGTCCCAGCTTTGTGCCACACAGAGCTCTCTGTGACATATCAGATGCTCTGCCACACGACATTTGCAAAACTCAGCGGTATGTGTGGGGGAAGTAAAGCATGGGGTTAGAGAGGGGGGAAGTGATAGATCTGCTGTCGCCTTTGTGGAGCTGAGAGCAGGGAGCATCTCGGCAGGATAGATCTTTCCTTCTCTGGCTCTGTGTTGTGCTGTCTGATTGCATGAAAAAAGAAGAAAATCACACATGGCATAGGGACACTTTCATAATATATGGAAGAAGCACGCAGCTGATGAGTTCTCTATTTCCTCTGACTCCCAGATTGAGGAGAAATCCGAGCAAGATACGAGCTCTACAGAATGAAGAAAAGAAAAGCGGCAGCAAGCAATTACATAGAAGGAAACAAGACGGCAAGGCAGATCCAGAGGCAATTACAAGGCTGCCAACACAGCAGCTGGTACAGCTCCCCGAAGAGCTCCACGCAGCACAGCTCCTTGGTTGGTCCCTCCAGCTCCAACTGCCACCATAAGAGCTGCAGAGCAGAGCACAGGGCTGGCACTGCCGCCCCAACTCACCGCAGGCTGTTTCCTTCTAGCAGGTCACAGCTGCAGGCTGGGTCGTAAGACACACACAGCATTAGGGAAAGTGCATGTTGAAACACATTTCTCAAGGATGCCATGAATGCCTGGGAGGAAAACCTTCAAATTGTTTACTCTTAACGAAGAAGGCAAAAATGCATTGCACAAGCGCTTCTTTTTTGATATATTGTTGGGCAGGGTGTTGTGGCTGGAGTGCAAGGCCAGGCCCAGAGGTGGCTGCACACAGTTCCTCTGTATGTCTTGTGGCTCTGCTGTGCCAGCACACTGACACCACGCAGGTTACTTCACCTTCTCCACGTTTCCATCTGGAAATCAGGATTGACTCAACTTCCTCATTGAAGCCGTTGCTGATCTGGTGATGGAGTGCCAGATGAAAGGCAAGGATCGTTCTTAAGCACAATAAATATTCATAGCATCCAGCACAGTGGGCTTGCTGGGCAGGTGACTTGTCACAGACTATGCCCCAGAAGGTCTGTTGTCTCCTATACACTACATATATGAAGTTGTGCAATGCAGCAGAGAACAAATATAGAGCAGGATGTGTTTTTTTTTGGCACCACCTTATTGAGTGCATGGTTAGAATAAGAGTTCAGGAAGAGAACTTGCATGCTTGGAGCATGTAAATCAGTGAGTGGCTTCAAAGTACAAGGAATTTTAATATATGACAGCTGAGATCATGGGCAATGGAGGCAGAAGAAAGCTGGGGTGGGAACTAAGAAATGGAAGGGTGTGCGGGCGTCAGCGGGGGCAGGATGGAGCAGAGCAGAACTTCAGGAGTTTTCACCTTGCCGGGAGAGTGTGAACCAGGAAGACAGGGTCAGAGCTGACTGGAGGAGGAAATTACCTCATCAACATTGCAAGTGATATCTTTCTATTGATTGTCAAATGAACAGATTTTATGGCCCGGAGCAGCCATATAAAATCACCGTACTCTGACCTCCTGTGCCCTGAAGATGAAAGGATTTCATCTAGTCATTTGAATTAGATGAATCCTATGTAAATAAAATAGCACACCAACTGTAATTTGTTGGAAGCTACAGATTCATCACAGACCAAGACCTGTGCAAGCATGTGCATAAACTTTGCAAAGACTTTGAGCTCGTTGAGTCGTCATCAGAACGGGAACGAATGTGGAAATGACTGCATTGAATTGTGCCCAATGTGGTATTTTAGCCGTGCCTGTTACAGCCAGATGCTTACCAAGAACTGTGCATCCCTTGGGAAGCACGGAGCTTGCTGCTGACCCCCTCTGAGGCACAGGCCCAAGCAGTCGGAGCTCCTGCAGGTGAAGGGCTGGGTGAGCTGCTGGAGGGGCTGTGAGCACTCAGATGGTGAAGCTCTCTCCCAGTAGGGTGCTGATCATGATGCACGTGAGAGCTGCCTGCACCGTGCCAAGGGCTGTGGCTGGCACAAGCAGGAAGGCAGACTGAAGCCATTTCCATTAACTGCAAGTAAATTTATGTTTATAAAGCCAAGTTCTTGTACATCTTCATACAGTCAGTTTCTCCTTGGGGCAGAAAGAGAAACTATCTGACTCCTTAACATCAGTAGTTGCATTCCTGTTTTATAGGCCAGCATCCAATTTCTTAAGAATTCTGGCAACATGGTTGTAAAGCTCCACTCACAGCTGCCCCTACCAGGGCATCCCATCAGCTCAGCACGTTTGCCCTGACAAGACCATTGGCAGCAGATGAGAGAAACCAGTCACACCAGAAGAAATGCTGGTATCTAAGGGCAGGTACGAATCACTCAAACGTGTCCTGATCTGCAGGGTTCCCACTGTCCTCAGCAGGAAAGCCAAGCTAGGAGTAGGCTGTCCCATCATCTCATGTGCAATGAGCACCATTTCTTGCAGGAGCGGGAAGGTCCTGGTGCTCTTTTGTCACCTCCACACAGTGGCAGAGCGGGGCAGCATAGCTGATAGCTGGGAGATCAGATTAAATATGGAACCCTAAGGGAACTGAATACACTGACAAGATCAGCCTGCGTCTGAGGAATACCTTCATCTGAAAAGCACAGGGAGGAGGAGGAACTTCTGAGATGTCAAAATATACCATTTCAACATTTTCAAAATAGCAGAGCCAAACCTTTCTTTTTTTTTTTTCTTTGAAACAGCCTGTTTCTGACAAAAAGTACCCCTAAACTCAACTACAATAACAGAAAACAAATTGGAAAAAAATGACTTATACAGCTCAATACTCCCAGAATTAAATGAAATCATCGTTTTGGCTCAGATTAACTGCTACAATCAAATAAAAATAACCTTGTTTCATTTTGCATCATGCCTACCAACACAAGCACAGCACTGATAACTCTTTTGGAGCTCCTAGACCTTAGTTTTAGTTCTGTACCTTTCAGCCATAAAGCCACAATCTTGGTCCAGTTCTAACAAAGGGAAAAAAAAGAAAGTGAGAAAATCTAAACAAATGGCAGGAAGGAGTATAAAACTGTGGGCATATTTAATTGTAAGCTTGGTAGAGTAGGTCTTGATTTGCACATCTCTGTAAGGGCGAGAAAGCACTGAAGACCTTACAAACTTCCCCACTTCATTACCGAAATCCTGACTGCTGCAAATTGCTGTCCCTCCCACACCAGTCCTGAGCCACATCCAAACCCAACCTGGCTGTGATACAGGCAAATGAGGCAAAGCAGAAGGCTGACGGAGGAGTCTTTAAGGTCTAGAAGTACAGGAGGGCAGCGATGGAGCACAAGACTACACCCATGAGCCCCGCAATGACAACCAGGAGTTGCTCTGGGCTCTCCTTCATGGCCAAACCAGACGATTACTTAATTTTTCAGCCTGTAAAAATAGCAAAACCAGTGGCAGGAAGGGATGGCAGGAGAAAGCGAGTGCGGAGTGAGTGACAGCGAGCGTGGCGCGGCACCTCCAGAGTGGGAGTTTGGCTTCACAGGCAGTCACTCAGATCTCAGCGGTAGCCTGGGGCGGTTTTCAGTTTGTAACTTTAATCTTTTAATCTTTCCCTCTCCCCATGTGCGTGGGTGAGCAGCACACATTGGTGGGTTGATTCTGCAACACCTCTCCCTCACTCCCTGCTCTCCATCTGTACGTTCAGTGGACCCACACTGAAAATGCTTTGGGTTAAAAGGGAAGAAATACCCCAAAAAGCAAGACCATGAGACAGCAAGGGGCTGAATGGTCACCCCAGCAAATTGGTTGATGAGGCGACTCAACGTCCCAAGTTTCCTGCAGACAAGGCAAGTCAGGGCCAGCAGCAGAGGTCTTCACTGTGTACAAGTGAATAGGTAGAGAAATGAACACTAGATAATAGTTGGGGGAAAAAAAAAACACCTCTTAACCTGACAGTAAAACACAACTACACCCATCTGTGTCTGCTAGCACAGGAGAGCAGGACTGTGGCAGTCTGTGCAGGGTGACTACAGATGGCCAGCAGTGCTTTCCAAAAACAGCACCCAAACTCCTCGCCAGAGACTTAGCGCTCGCTGCTGCTTTGGACAGGTCTCTCACCACAAACATGTAAAGCCAGAAGGCAAAAATCTTGACCTCACAGAGATCAAGGGCTCATTCACCACTTGAAGGGGATGACATTTCGTTGCGGTTGAGCAAATACCTGATTCTTTGCTGTAGTCCTGGCTCTCAAATGCCTCCTGTATGTGCATCTCCTGAGCTCCCATGAGCTCCCAGTGCCTTTATGAGGATTTGAGTGCCCAAGTGTTAGATGCGCAAGTACTTGATGCTTTGGTTTATCCACATGTCAAACTCAGCTGAGGGTTTTCCATGTCACATCATTTTGGGAAGCCAAGAGCCCACAAAGGACCCTGAAACCTATAGGTGAAAAAAAAAACACAGAACAGGGGAATTCTGACTACACTTGAGGCCCTCTTTCCAAGTAAGGAGAAGGCTTCTATGCTTCTCAGCTCCTCTCTTGGCAGTGATTTATGTGTAGGCAGTGGTCATAATCAGGAAGTGCCTCCTCCAATTTACAGCTGGTGATACCACCTGTGCCTCTCTAATTCCAGCCAAAACAACCACCTCCTCAAGCCCACGTGTAAGGAAGGGCAGAGGATCCAGCGATGACAACGCCAAGAGAATAGCAAGACTCTGGTTGAAGTGCTGACATTATCCCCAGACACATACTGCTGTTTATAAGTGTATTTTCTTGCTTCCTGTAAATACATTTGCCCTAGCTACTGAGAGAGGTAGACCTGACTTAAGAGTGCACTAACTGCAACAACATTAGGTGACAGGAGAGGCACAGAACACAAGACAAGGTTAAAATGTTCAAATTTGCAGGGCCAGGGACTCATGTATGTGCCTGTGTAGCAGCTGGAATGGAGGAAAGCAGATTCATTACTCATCGCTTAAATTCTGTCAAGGACTTTTTCTTTCTGGAAAGAAAACAGCGAGTTAGTAATCGATGGTGAGGAAGAGAACTCTACAACTGAGATACAAGCGTGTATAGGGCTGTGTGTATATACACGTACTTTGTTGGTATTATTTGTTTGTCCCCCGGAGTCCATCTTCTAAAGATGTCTTTCATCCAAGTAGCATAAGCAGGGTGTTTGGTTGGCTTTTTTGGCAATGTCTAGCACTATTTCACATTGCAAACGGTTCTCTGCACACACACAAAAAAAGGAGGTAAAATAATGGTGACAAGTGCCACAGAGCTTATGATCTACTTTCAGCCAGCATGAAAACTTTAAGAGGACCCTGAGAAACAGGCTGGCTTTCAGCATATGGCTTTCAATTCCTATCTCAGCAATCATAGTGATGTTTTTGCTTCCAGATGAGCTGGAATCAGGTAGATTTTGTGTAGATGACAGCATATCACAGATTGTGGCTGTTACAGTCTTAATTACCAGTTATCACCTGGGCTTCACAAGGAATAAGTTTTGATGCCTTAGACATTACTATCTGAGATGGCCTTACATCCCTGAGAGCAAGAACCAGTTGTATTTTCTGCTTGCTGGTGAGCTTCACTCAGCATCACCATGTGGCTGCAGCAGTCCTCCCATAGTGGCTGAAGCCACCTCCCTGTTTGTGGTGGATCCCAGTTCTTGTTCAGTGTTTTCTGCTTCAGTCTACTTCAGACCTTGATCAGAACTTTTAAGAGCTGGCATTCATTGTAGACAGCTGAGCTTTTCCACATGCAAGTCCTTAATGGGGCACGCTTTGTGGTCTTGGTCTAGTCTCCTAGTCCTACTGACAAAGCTCCCGTTGGCTTCCCTGGAGCAGTGAAGGCCGAGAGGCACTGATTTTCTGATTTATTAATTGCCTGTGTTTCCAGTTAGTCCAGAGCTGTGGGTGCCAAAACCTCAAGGGAGTCATTTACCCTCATTGCAAGTATCACTTCAGCCTTTCTGATGCCAGTGGAAAATTAATATCCTTTGGAGACAACTTAAGGGCACTCTATGAGCTATATAAAGAAGAAAACAACAGGATCAGAATGAAAACTAACAGTTTGTGATATCAGATGAAACACTCCCTTTCATCGGCTGTTTTTTTCAGAAGCTGTTTGTTACTTCATTTCACCCACTTCCCATAGCCTCCAAAAGTTATTTTTGAATGACCTGCTTGCCACAGATTCCCTGAAGAGGCCCAGCTCTTTACTCGTCTTTCAGAAAGTCCCTTGCTAGTGCAGGTACCTATAATTATTCATACATGAACCTAAAGCAGGCAGCTTCTCATCTTCCATTTAGATTTTTTTAATGGGCGACCAAGAAGGGAACAATTCAGCCATACGGCTTGGTGAAGCTTTTGCTCTGCAGCTCTCTGAGCCCAGCACCATGGTGACAGGTCTCTCTTTCTGTAGTAAAGTGGGATTTCGTTTATTTGATCTCTGCATGTCCGTCAGAAAGCACCTGGTGGCTGGGACAAACAGACGAGACATGGGGCTCTGTGGCTTGCTCTCCTGTGCACAAGCCTGACATCAGTGGGAAAGGTCACATAGAAGTTTTGAAGTAAGATGTATGCACAACCTTTTCAGAGTGGTTTGCTGAAAAACAAAAGCAGAATGCATGTGGTCATGTTTGAGTAATACACGGATAGCTGCTAGGTTCACTTCCTCTACAGGCCTTTCGGTTTTCAGAATATTTAGCTGAATATGAGCAATTTTTGCTCACTCCAGAAGCCTTTTCTACAGCCAGACCTATTTACAGCACTGGCAAGACGTAGCTCATCAGGTTAACACATGTGAAATTTATCTCACGTTAAACAAAGCAAGGTCTGGGAAATCTGACCACTGCGTTTCAGGGAAAAGAAACTAAAAAGAGAGGGATCCCAATGATCCAGTGATTAACACTGTAATAAGTACATTTGAAAAAACAGAATGGAAGGGCAATGCAGCACTTACCTCCTGAACCAAGCAGTAGTTCCAGGTAGCTTTATTCTAGAAATAAAAACAGCCAGAGGGATATAGGTATCCTCATGGTACTGGGTCAGCAGCTGGCAGAGCAGCACTGGTGGATGCAAGCATACAGAGGACACCACGTTGCCCCCAACTCTGCCTACCTGGCTGGGTAGCTGGGCCAAAAGCTGGTTGAGTGGGATCACAGAGGTGCAGTTTTGTCAGCAGGAGGCTTGGGAGCTGATGAAAGCACAGGTCTGCCATCCCCAACATTCCTGCCAGAGAAGTTGAGCTGGTATAGGGTGGGGAAATTAGCTGTGCTCGATAAAGGAGAAGTATTAAAATCATAATTTGCCTGGAGCAGTAAGGAAACCAAGAAAAGGAATAGCGACTCTCCAAGGGATCCAGCTGCACTCCACTCCTTTTGGGGGTAAGCTGTGATATTTCAGTCTTACCTGTTGAATTCACACCCAGGGAAATAAGATGTAGATGAAAACAAGGAGTTTTTAAAATTATTTTTACTAACCCATCACTCAGCATTCTTTATCTATGATTTAATAGCACTTGTACCATTCATAACTTTTCAACCAGAGGGAAAAATGTGATAGGATTTTGCATGACTCAAGGGTTTTATGGGATGCTTTAAAACGGCTCAGCTGTCAGGCTTTTAACTGTGTTGAAGCATAGCAAAAACTGGAGTTCTGTAAAATGGCCTGGGCACTGGGCTTCCATAGAGCGCACAAAGTATGTTCTGCGCTTGTTACAGGTGATTTTGTTCTGAAAAGTACTTCAAGCTGCTCTAGAAAGCCTGGCAGACACATCACCTGGTTAAGCACGAGCACAAAGATTCCTGCTGTCTTGGGGATATATTTGCACAAACCTTCAAACTTTTTCGACTAACCAATTATAAAGATTACCTGAAGCTTGCATACATGACCACAGTCATAGCGCTCCTCACAGTTTCCAGGGACAGATTCTCAGCTGCTGTGCATCTGCATGGAGCCACCAAGAACTCAACTGCCAGAGGTCTCTTGCATTTATTTCTAGCAAGCAATCACCATACAGGTTTTCTGTCCTACTTAGCCTCAATCTCTGTGCGTCCTTTCTCCTGCTCCCTTATCTCCTGAGCACCCACACAGAGTGCATCCCCTGGTCCCTGGTACAGCAGCATGTGGCTTTCTAGTTGGCAAACACCTGCACTGTTAACTGCATTGTCAGCTTCAGCCAAGGACTGCAGCATCCTCAGAGGCAGTGAGACGTCGTAAGGACAGACAGTAGGACAGAGGAAAGAGCTGTCCCTGGAAATGGTTCTTTGGTACAACTTGAAACAAGAACATCTGCTTCTGAGATGCAGAATAGTAGGCTGCAGGCTCGCGGTGCTGGCACCTGAAGATCCTGACCTTTCCTTCCTTGGGCAGAACTGTTGTGCTGCTGTTCTGAGTAATCCCTGTACAAGACTTACTAGTAGTAGCAACAATAATAATGAAGAGTTACAGAACAAACTCTGCGTTCTGAATATGGTTCAGAAGGGAAACATACCACCATTGTCTGCTTTAGAAGAGCTGGGAAAGCTTGTCATAGCTAAGACTGAAAGTATTAGGCAGATGTGACCTTTAATATCTGAGCTGTCATGAGACAGGAAATTGCGTTGTTACCTCAGTGAAAAAACAGCCCACAGCAGTTCAACAGTGAGCATTAGAGGCCACTTCATCCCTGGGGCGATGCTGTGTGACAGACTCCTGATGTCTAACTGGGGCTCCAGTACCAAAAAGTCCCCTCCACGATAGGCACAGTGCAGTCCTTTGTCTCAGGAAGAGCACAGGCAGTTGATGCAGATGCTCAGACGTCCACAGGAGCCCAATCCCAGCCACCTGCTGTACCTGCTCCCCATCACATTATTAAGAGATCACACTCTTTGGCTTCTGAAGATTCCTTGAGGAGCAAAACTGCATCAAACACATGGGAAGGTTGTAGGCCGAGCTGCGCTGAATGACAAACTGAACGAAAACTAAGACACTTTGCAAACGGATTGCAAGTCATCCTTTTTTCCTCCCTAGGCTCTCCCCTCTGAAACGCCTCGCTGTTTGTGGCCAACTTCCAGCACTAAAAGGTAGCAGCAGGCTGCACAACAAGTGGGGAAACCTGCTGATGGATGGACTTTGTGCTGGCAGGGTTAGAGGGAGCGGGAGGGAAGCTAATGGGGGACAAGTTTCACATTTCAGCAGCCAGAGACAAGCACTGCTCTGTGACAAGACAAGATTCGACAGAGTTTCTTGTTCCGAGTGTACCATGCCCAAGATCCCCTTCTTCCAACACGGTGTATTGTGCCTCAGCTGAAATCCCTTTGAAGAACAATATGCACACACAGTGTAATCTGACATTATTCCAGTGCTACAGGGAACATCTTGAACATAATTGCACCGCATGGAAGCTGACTTGCTACGCGAAAAACAGACCAAAATGCTTTCACAACAAATCTGTAAACACATTTATGCTCCCAATAGCCATGATAAACCCAATCAAACAGCCAGGATTAGTGCTAACAACTCTCACTAAAGGAGTTAATGGAGTTTCTGTTGTGTGAAATACACCAGCTTTAAGGAAGAACTCACAGATTCTGGCCACCAAATTTGTAGGCAAGCCTCACTTGGGAGGACTGGCATCCAAACCAAGAGTCCTCCAGTCCTCTTGCTCACATCCTGCTCTCACTGGCACTGCACTGCCTCACCTCCCTCTCCCTCATCCTGGTATTACAACCATGCCCATTCTGCCTTTCCTCAGCACCAGGCAGCAAGCCTAACAAGCTTTTATGCCTGTTTCAGAGCGCTCTGGTTATCCTCAATCCTTTGTGTCAATGTGACAGCCTCAAGAGAATGGAACCCATGTTTTTGCAGCTTATTTTCTCCAGATCCCAGCTGCAGTACGCACAGCTCACACCTCATCCATCAGGAACCACTGCTGTGGGAAACTTGTGCAGCACAGCACAGCAAAAAATCAAACTGAAAGTCATCCTCACTTGAGATAAGAAGAAAGATCTAAGCCTGTCAAGGTCAGAACATGTCCTAGCACAACTGCTGGTCCTCCCCTTATGCTGAAGGCTGTCAGAATGAGGGTCGCTTGGTGTTTACCACCATCATCTCTCAGATGCAGAGCTCACACTTGCAATAACTACACGCAGTACCAGCAGCCAAGGAGGTTCCTGCACATGGGCACACCAGCTCCATACCATGCTGGGAAGTCCTATTTCACAATGTGGCACTACAAGGGACCAGTTGTAAAAGACTAAGTCTTAAATGTGGAATAAGTTACTTGCTCAAGTGTTGTTCAACTTCCCCGCAGTTCACAAGCTGTTCAAAAAATGTAGTTAGTGATAAGAGCCACACTTCTGAAGCCAATTAATTAGAAGACCTGGTTCTAGTCTGATGTTCCGCTACTAATTCACTGAAAACAGACATTTCCCATGGAAGATAAATTATTTAAGTCAAGAATGGAAAATGTTCTTTCCCGAAAATTCCAGTGCAGAGCAAGCACGGAATGCTGCCTTTGCAGTGGAAAGCATGGTGTAGTGCAGCACTGCAGGAGCAAGGATCTCTGTCTGGGGGCATCACTTCAGCAGAGCATCACGCAAAGTTTGCATGGACTGTTAGTAACGCAGAAAACATGCTACTAACAGTAATAATAGCACAGTATTTACAACCACCACTGTTCTGCACCTGCAATTTCAGAAGACTCTGCATCAAAACCACCAAAACAATTAGAATCTCATCTGTGTTTCCCATGAGGGAGGAACTCCTTTTCACAAGGAGGCTCACAGAAGCAGAGCTGCTGGCTCACATGCCCACTGAAAACATGTTCCCTGGGTCAGCTGGCCACAGCCTGAGTGGTGGAGCTGGCTTGGTGCTCGGCTCTGTTCCTGAGCATCTTTACTGCATATTAGCCACATAAGTAAGAGTTCAAAGCTCAATGGTTAATTATTCTTTAAATAAATGGACTGTGGTAGCCCCACACGGCCCACCCCTCTGCTACATCAGGATGCCGTTATGTTCAGCCCATGCTTTGCTATTTGCCCTCCACCTGCTGAAACTCTAGAACATTGTCTCAAGCAAATGTATTTGCTACTGTCTTTGCCCACAGAATAGCAGGTACCCAAAAATAGCTATAGAAAATACCTCAGAATTAAGAGTATGCTAGTGTCGGCATCTGTAAACCTTGCTTTCCCATAGCAAAAGAGCCAGCTAGAACATACTGTGATGGATTCTAGCATTACTGCTTTCGATTCAGCTTGCTTCCTGCTTTTCCCCCTAAATGATGCACCCAGATCGTGCCGATTCCCAGAGACAGATCCCAAAGGGGCCCTGGGCTATGTTATCTCTGCAGCTAAGAAACTCCACCTCTGTGCCTTTGCTGCTACTGTCTGTGTATGTGATCGTTAGCCCCTTCACAGTATTTTGGTTTCTGCTATTCTCCCGCAAATGTTTCAGGCTTCCATTTTCAGTAGATGCAGCCATGGTCTCTCAAAGCTATGACTCATAGCATAAGAAAGTGATGTAATACCCAGCTTGAATGCCCAGCTGGGAAGTCAAACCAACCAAGGAGAAATTTGTGCCTACACAACAACAGCCAATGATTCTGAGCACCACAAGTTTCAGTCTCTTAACAGCACTTAAAAAACATCCAGTTCTCAAAAACAGCTATACCCCGTCTTTCTATGAAACAAACATTCTACAAGCATCCCATGCCTGCGCGTGATCATGTTAGAAACAGGCTGGAAGATGCTGTTCCCAGGGTGGGCAGCATGCTTTGGACAGGGAGCAGTAGAGCTGTGACTCTCACAGTGGTCCTGGCCCAAGCACATGAAGAAGCAGGTGAGGAATTCTAGCCTACTGGGTTTCTTTTTGGCATCTAAGCTGCTGAAGCCACACCTGTGGCTCACACACGTTGTTCAAATGTTTGCAGACCTTTAGACACCTTAAGCAACAGTGATTAGGCTGGAGTACTCCATGAGTATTCCTAGGTGTGCCTGAGCTGTTTCTGACCTCCTTATGCTGCAGCTGATTTGGCTTATGGAACTGGCAAGGTCCTCTGATGTGTTTGGAACTTCTTTGAAACAGAAAGTGGTACTTGCAAGCTTAGCAACGCTGTGGCATGTCTGTACCAAAGAAGCCAAAGAAGATTGCTCACAGTTAAGAGCTGCCAAAGGTCCAGACCACCTGGCACGAAACACCTGCCTATGGACACCTTCCTCTGGAGGAACAGTCCTGGGAACTCACATTTGAGGTTTGGCAAGATGGAACAAATGCTGTTGCTTCCAGATTGTGTTGCTTTTAAAATTAAAAGCTCAGAAAAGCTATTTCCTCCCTCCCTCCCTTCCCCCCCCCCTCCCCAGGAGTTACTCCTTTGCTTCCATCACTTTGTGTAGGCCTAACCTAACCTGGCATTGTCCACAGTCTATGCCTTAGAGGAGCTTTGAAGGGAGCACCTGCTTCCTCTCCTTGCCACTGGATTAAGTTATTCTTCCTTATCTCATCAGGACAGGTGCCAGAACGGAGAAGACTCACTCTGTGAGGAGGATGGAGTGGGGAAAGTATTACTTTATGCTTGTTCTGTTGTTCTGTGCTTTCCTGAAGCTTTTCTGGCCGCTGCCAGAGACAGGAGCCCGGGCTTGTTCAACCTTTCATCTGGGCTGGCACAGCAAGTCCAATGTTCCCTTTTCTGCTGGCATGAAAGAAGGAAAAAAACCCCAATTTGTACTCTTCTCAGTCACAGGCACTAAAATCCCCAGTTGTCAGCGAGAGCTAATATCAATACCAGGAAAGGCTGAAATGACTGCAGCAAAGAATATTTGTAAAGGTCTATTTGAGGCACATCCTGCATTCCTCAAGTGTCAGCGAGAGCGGCAGTGACTAGCAGGGGCAGGATGAGTGTGCATCCTGGCTCTCCCCACCGAGACGCTGATGCACACAGTGCTGTGTGTCACGTGGGAGAGCCCTGCCAGCACAACACCTTGTTTTAGGGAAAAGTACTGCAAGTTACTGTGTGTAACAGACAATACAAAGCCATCTGTGGCATGAAGCCACTCATGTATCTTTACCCCCTCCCTCAATCCCCCAATTTCCTAGTCCTCCCATGTTTATATTTGCAAAACAAAAAGCCCAGCAGTCAAAAACAGAAGAAAGAGCAGACATTTAATAGCTTGTGTGGAGATGCATGTAGATGAAGATGCATGTTTGCTGTCATAAAACATGTCAGGTATTTTATTTTGAACATAAGAGAAACTCTTCTTCCCTCAGATCCACCAACCATTAAAGCACCCTGAGCAAATGGAGGAGGACTGCATCTGACAGCAGCAAAGAGCCAGCAGTGCTGGGTGTGGAGGGAAGGAATGCCAAAGTGGCACATTTTGCTGTAACAGCAATTCCAAACGTGGGTATTTCTTGCAGGGGTGAAGAAGGACAGAGGGTATGCAAAGCCAGGTTGTGTAAAGAACTGCTGAACAACCCAAACCAGACAGGCTCTGAGAGAGCAAGAAGCATTACAGAGCTTGAAAATGCTCAATCATGGGTGTGTTAAGAACAGGCAGCCTGAGCTGGACCAGTCTGAGCACGCATAGAAAAGAGGAAGCAGCAAGACAGTAAAAAACTGATGGGGTCAAATGGTAAAGGATGCTACACACTGCCTTTTATGCTGTCCCCAGAAGTTTTAGGAAGAGTTGTCCTTACTGGGCTTTCTAGATACTGGGGTAGCTTACGTTTCCCTGTCTTAGTCATCATCCCCTTGATTAAAACTATTGTTTTAACCACAAGAGCTGGGCTTTGACATGTGCAGCTAGAGAAGTCATTCTCTTGACTTCTGTCCTTAAGACCTCGGCTGAAATAGGCTACCAGCCTCCCAGGCAGGTCTCCACAGAAGAACAGGATATTGACAGATGGCTCTACTCGTGCTCAGGGCATTAATGTGAACAACGACTGGGTTACAGGCAGGCACTGTGAAGAGGAGTTACCCCCAAACTTCCACCTGCCCTTGTCACAAGTCCTTGGCTTGAGCAATGGGTACACCAACAACTGCAAAAGTGACAGGAAAACATTATCAGAAACTTAACAACTTCCCTTAGTCTGTAAGAGCTTGACAATCTCCTCTGACAACACAAGCATTAATCACGAAGGTAGTTGAGTGCATCAGGGATAAAATTTAATTTCACGAAATAAAGAACTGCTGGGAAGAGAGAAATTCTTTTCACATTTATTTAATAGTGCTAGCAATTCATTTCTCCAAGAGAGCTTTGTCAAATCCCAGAACAATTACAACAGGCTACTATATAAACGTAGTAACAAGCAACAGAGCTTAATACGAATATAAATCTGAAAGGATGAGACAGAGACACTCACGTACTTATCCATAAACAACACGTTGTTCCTGTGGCCTCCTTACAAAACCATACACGTCCTGTGAATTTCAATAGCAGACCCCGGAGACTGACTTGATCTGTCAGTTCTCCTTTACTTCCAGGCTTTCAAGATCTGTTTTTAAATCAATCACAGTGATTTGGAAGGATGTTTTAAAGCTCACGACAAAGGGTGAGACCTACTGCCCTGCAGGACAGATGCAGCAAGAAAATTGGACCTGTGAGGCCATGCCTGCCTTTCTGCTCTGAGCAGTGAGGGCTCTTCACCACCAGTGAAGCCTCAGACACAGTTCAGGCTTGCCAGCTAGGATGCCAACAGCAGTGCTCGGTTCTGTGATGTGGTTATTTAGCAACTGAAGTCCGAGCAAGGATCACCTATTTACTACAGAACACTTGTAATCAAAAGAAAGCAATTGATTTTGTTAACTACTAAGCTAGGCTGCACATAAGCTATTGGCCCAGGAGCCTAAAGTGCTCATTTTACAGTCACCTCCTGCAACCACACACTATTTTCCAGCCACTAGCCTAGTTTATTTTTCACACGTCTTTTCAAAGAAAACATCTTTTCCCCCACCATACAGCACAAACGCACACTTGCTCACATCAGTGCTACCAACTGCCTGTCCTACATTGAGCAAAAGTCCCTTGGAAGAGAACACATTTTATTGCAGGGCTTTTTTTGTAAGCAAGAAGCCAGCTGTAAACGTGCTTTTTCTGCTCTTTATGCTAGACATCGTTAAAAAAAACATACTTAAGTATTTGTTGTAACAATTTCTACCCTGGAATCTTCCTGTGCCTTTGGGACCTTTCTCTATGAAAGGAATTAATGCCTACACAGCACTGTAGGGCAAGTGCACAGCTGTCCTAGGACCAACCAATTACTGTGTGTAATCACAGTCTCCTTCTAGCACTGCAGAAAGCATTGGGAGCAAGAGAAACCTGATCAGTGGTTTCTTACCTCCCAGCAGGATCACAGCCTTGAATCAGTACAGGTGCGGCGTGTGCTTGCTTTTTTGGATTTATATATGAAGTTGTATTCTACAATGGAAAAAACAATATTTGGGAAACAGATGTTCCTAGTGTAACGCTATAACCGGATGGAAAGTACTGTGATAATAGCTGGGATGCAAAGACTTTGGCTGCAGCAAATGAGAATGAGCCCAAACGTAACAGCCACAGATAGAGAATGGAAAGAAAAGAGCTTACCTTCAAAAGGCCTTAGGCAAGCAGAAACCTCCAACAAGAGATACCCTCACCTCCCCAACCTTTAAATGAGGACTGGGAAGGAGGGGCTCCACCCCTCACAGTCACTCAGATGCATTGCATGCACCTGAACTCCTGGAGTTGGCCCTGCCTTCTCACCAGGTGCTCCATCACTGCTTCAGGCCGTGACTGAGCATTTCCACTATGCCTGGTTTGCTGTGATGGTTTCTGAGTCCAAGCACAGTCTGAGTGTGTCCCCCCCCCCCCCCCCCCCCCATCACCAGGTGCCTTGGCTGTCCCAGCCCTGCATCACAGTGTCACAGCAGGTTTAAAAAAATGCTGGTTTAAAAATTCTTTACAGAGACTCAGATTTTACTCTCAGAAGCTTTAGTTCAAAGGGCTTTGTTTTCCTACAGCCAAGTTGTGAATGCAGTCCTTAATTTTCTCTCCTCTGAGAAGACGCTGTGCTTGCAGCAGAGATGGGCAGGACAGCCCTTCCTGCACAGCAAAGAGCCATGGTCTGCAGCACAGCATGGGCTGGAGATGGAGGCATCTGTAGGACTTCATGGGGAATGGCTGGGCCTGGTTTCCTTACCATAAGCAGCCAGATCCGTCCTATTTAAACATAGGCTCTTGAAAAACAAGATATAGCACATTAATCACAGCAAATTTAACATAATAAGAGCCCCTGGTCAAATATAAAACAAACCCTTGCCTTGCTATTGCCGATGCAAAGCGAGGGAGGAATCCAGTCAGATTTACAACACCGCTTCCGTGCTATAAAAATAGCTACATTGAGCATTCTAAAAATAAGCCAGATAAATATTTAAGGCCCACTGCTAGTCAACGGAAACCCAGTGCTGAAGGCACTCAGCAGGAATAGCATGGACAGGATGGGTGAGCTTCCACCGAAGGCACTGCTGGAGCTGGAACTGAGACACGGTCACCTTCCCACACTTGTTGCCATTGGTCCTCAGGATCCTAGGAGGTTGCTGCTGCCCAGGGCAGGGTATGAACACCGTACCCCAGCATGGCAGGGCCCCCCCATTTCACCACAAGCATCAAACATAGCCTCCATCACACTAAAAGCACCAACACTTCTCTTCGTAGATCATTTTTCTCACCGAAAAACAACGCGGTATTTTGCCCGTGAAATATTTCAAACTAATGCGCTCCTGAAAAAACAGCTGGAGATGAACAAAATAGTCTCAAATGGCTTTTCTGTCTAATTTTAACTCTAAGAGACCATTTACATTAAATAGAAAGACAACATAATGTACCTGATAATAAATTGCATTGTTTGTGAGGGTACTTATGGAACAGGAATTATTTGCATTGCCGGCGTAAACATTCAACAGAACCCGCCAAAACATGTGCAACTATTTAAGAGGGAACACGGCGGTTCTTCATCCTCAGGAACGGAAGGCAAAAGAAAAGCGCTTCACCACGGAAAGGCGCCGCTTTGTTCTGACCGCACAAGGGCTGCCCGTTGTGCTATTTTCCCTTTCTTTTCCAGGAAGCCAAGTATTCAGGACCCGGATCGCAGAGCTCCGGCAGTCGGTCCCGCTTCCTTTGACGCTCACCTCCTACGACTGACACAACCCAGCGCGCACAGCAGCTCCGAAGGGCAGCACAGCCCTCCCTTACCCTGCAGCCTCACCGGCCGCGGGCAGGAGGGCAACGCCCGCATCCCTGCCAGCACAGCTACCCTCTGCTGACGGCAGGAGGAAGAAAAACACACGCACACACAATGAAAAGAAGCGTCCTGAGTCACCCGGAGCACACGCTGAGATGGCGGTGGCGCTCCTGGGAGCTGAGCTTTAGTTAAAAGGAGCCGCGGGCGGGCGGTGAGCATCGCCTGGCGGGGTGCAGCGCCCAGCACACAGGTGCTGCCGTGCTCCCAGCGCCGGGCGAGCTGCTGAGGCTCTGCCGGCACGGACAGGCTCCTGGCTGCCACTGGGACGCGGCCACAGCTTCAGCAGCGGCTCTGCGAGGATGTGGAGGCGCGGAGAGGCTCGGCGCTGCACCCGGCAGCACGCCCCAGC